CATTTCCTGCTGAAAGGTTGTTTCATCACTACAAATAGTTGGAGCACTTTTGCGAGAGGTGATAACTAATGGAGCTGACAGGCGCACTTCCATTACTGCTTTTGAGGGCGTTCTTCAAAAGCGCGCTACTCCCTGGGACAGTTATCACAATGCACAGGTCGAACACACGATTTCATGCACAATCACACTGGCGCAGCCCCTAGACTCGACTGCTGACACAGCAAAACATGAGCGGGAGGTGTAGCGCTCTAGTGAAGCTTTGTGAAGATCACTCTGTGCTGAAGGTCCTCCAAGTTTGGCTCTCTTTCGACGAATCCACGATGTCAGTTGATGACATTATATGCCACGTCATCACTGTGTTTAGGGAGGTTACATGCATTTTTGAAGTTCGTGAACAGATGCAGACACTAGGAAATCAAGTACGTTTGCCATTCACACCTCTGTTGTAAGAGAGATCAACAACAAGAAAGCAAACAAGATTCACTGATTTTCTCTGCATCTCCTTTTGCTGCAAGTGCTGTCGAGAGTACTATACCAAGCTGCTAACGGAGAAGGTACATGTTATGGCACACCCTGCATATATCACTGTAGTCTTCAACATGAAACAATGTTTTACATGCTGAAACCCCAACACGATTAAAAAGGCATATCATAGAAAAGGGACTGCTCATTAACTTGGCTACGTCGCCCCTACCTTCCTAGTTTACTCTTTAGCATAGAGACGTTTGACACGCTTGTAGATCCAAGTACAAAAGTCTTGTTGCATTCTGCCTCCATGAAGATTTGACTGCCAAGGCCAAGAACCAATAGCCTATTATTGCACTTAGGAGTACAACACCACACAGGCTAAGCAATCATGGGATCAAAAAGTGGGCCAGTTGGTAATTCATTTTCTTCGAACAGCGAACTGGGAGCGCAGAGAAAACACAAAGGACGAAGCGAGGAACCACACAACACGAGCGCTCAAAAGCGCTCGTGTTGAGCGCTCGTGTTGTGTGGTTCCTCGCTTCGTCCTTTGTGTTTTCTCTGCGCTCCCAGTTCGCTGTTCTAAGCAATCATGGCATGAGAAATTTGAATTTTTAGGATAGTGTACTGCGAGTGATCTCGTTTCCATTTCTGAAAAATCAGCCACATTTACAAAATGATTGACTTTTTCTAGGGCCACAAAAATGATAAGTTAAAATGAACGAACTCGTCTTAAAGGTTCACTTGGCAATGAACATTCAGTACCGGGGAATTTTGCTTTCTAGAGCTGAACTTACACCTACACTGAATGGTCATTCTGGTACTTTTGCAATATCGCAATAATTTTGAAAGATCATGTATTACAGCCCTCTTGGTTTGTAACAGTCTGTAAAGCTTGGTGGAGCAGATGTTTTGCTGCTTCTAGATTTCAATACAATTCCTGACCACTTGAATGGGTGGAATCAAAAAGCGTCAAAATTTAACCTCATACATAAGAACAAGCTGCTGTGAAAGGAGACACAGCTAGCCATTTTTCATTTCTGTGTCAGTTCAGGCGTTACGCAAGAATGCGCCTTAGAATAAATTCTGGTTGCTTTACATGCTATAATTCTGAATTTGACACGAGGCATGTTGCAGAGGAGAGCCCAGCTTAATATGACCATTAAATATTTTATAATTAAGTGCCTGAGATTCAGTATACAAGAGTTGAATTATTTCACATGCATCGAAAAGCAGGCACTGAGGCTTTCATGTTAAAAGGTACCGACACCTTTCTTTAAATCGAATTCGAAGGCGAATAAGCAAGGTCAGAAAGGGCATCGACCGATAGTCAAGGCTTCCGAGCAATCACACGAGCCAAATAATACAGCGTGGCAAATGGTCTGCATTTAACCGAAAAAAAAAAATTGGCCCCGTATCTGCATTTAATATGCAAATGTCGTCGAAAGACGATAGTCTTGCGTGTGATGAGAGTGAACAAAACATTTATTTGATGTTCTGCGCAAGAAAATCGGTGAACGGTATTCTGGAGGAACTGCCTTAGAGTACCTCGAGCGTGCAGCGGAAGCGAACGAGCGCATCAAGCCACGTCACACGGGAGACATGAGCGCCATCCGGCAGTTTTTTTTTTCGAAAACATAGCGCGTGGCTCTGAGACGGGCGTGTGCGTCCGTCTCAAAGGTGATAAAATGTTGAACGCAAGGCGACGGGTAGGTGCCACCACTATCTCGTTTTAGTAAAGCGTTGAAAACACTCTTCTTTTCGTGCAAGCGTTGCATGGCCAGCGCAGCGTGATAAGCGCTACGGTCCTTAAAACTACTGATGTATGCCTTTTCTAGTAAAAGGGGCACATGCAGAATATATACGTGTTGTTATGATGCCCCAGGCATGCGCAATAATTGCTTTTTAATGGACAATTGCACAAGTATGAACGCCGAACCTTGAGCAACATTGGTAGGCGCTGCAGATAGGGTTGGGGTCGGCTGTTTCAAGTACCTGATTCTGTTAAGAGTGGATAAACAAACAAATGTACAGACAGACAGACCAAAGTTTTTGCGTCGAAGGTCCCCAAGAAAGACTATTGTCTTTAATATATTACCAAAGTCAGCTGAAAATTTCTTTCTCCTCTCTCGACAAATAACAAAGAAGCTCAAAAATCACTCATAGAAGGCCATCTCTCCGCTATAGGCCAATTTGAACACAGCAATCAATCATTACAGGAATCGCCGTGGAAGGCTGCGACTTGTCCACGTGTGCACGTGCAATCACGCTGATAAAGCTGCATATTAGAAGAATCAAAAAAGAAAAGGTGCTCAAGATCATGAGGCATGCGTGACCTATTTTCTTTGCCCATGCCGTACCTCCCTGCTTAGCTTCCAGCGCCTTCATCGAGAAGTGAGTTGAGAGAATGTGATTGCAGCGTGCGACAAAACTTAGTAACTCCGCTTGTACTAGACGAATTTTTAACATTTTCGTGATGTTGAATTCAAGAGGCAATAACCTCTTTTAATGAATCCACTCCATGGCCACTTCAAAACGTATTTCAGAGCCCTTTATAAAGCCCAAAGGTGAATTCAGCAGCATATTGTCATAGACACTTTGCCACCCTATTCTTTTTCACAGCAGCCTGAATTGACATTGCACCTTAACTCCCCAGCAACACTAGGACACTTGTTCACAGCCTGACCTAAGCATCGACATCAATGGGACACTAAAGGCAAATTACATGTTATGTCAGAGTGAAAGCTTAATGCTTCAAAACAACAAAAAGATGAATATTTAGTCCATAAGCACTTTAGTAACCAGAAAATTAAGGCAAAGAGAGGACACCATTCTAGTCGCTAATGGGACATTCCGGTGCGTTATCCCAATGACATAGCAGGCCTCCAGTACAATTAAGCTCAAGTACTCAAACTACCCATAAACAAAAAACAAGCACACGTCAGTGCACAACAGGACTGAATAAATTGCAACAGGCATATCTCACTTTGATTAACATTACCCTTGACAATGATGTGGCTCGTCCAAAAGTTCCACTTTTGTTAGGATGGGCTAGCTGTGCTCCAATACTATGTCTGTCGACGAATGCTATTATCTCACAAGCTCGTTCTCGGAGGTGGTCAGTTTTACTTGTATGAACAGTATGCAGACCCCTATAGCATGACTTCCTTACAAATTTAGCATTCTATGGCATGAAACAAGTCCTTCGAAGTAATAGAATATCGTTGCAACAGCACACATTGACTTATTACCCGCTACTAGTGTCTTGAATATAGATGTACAGCTACAATCAATATACCCTGGAGCATGATACATAGAACTCAATACCCTGGCAATTACTAGTAAATGTGTATCAACCAACTGTGATTAATGTTAGTGCCAATGGGCATGCCTTAAATGCCATCAAGCATCAACACTAAATTGCAGCTTATGCATAAATAAGCATACATTTGTACATGAATTCACTGCCCAAGTCCCTGTTGTTTCAATATGACTAAAACTCCTCAAAAAGGCAGCACTGCACAATGCAAGCCACCTAGTGATGTATCTAGATGCATGCTTCTGAAACTTGGTTAATTCCAGCCAAGAATTACAGATTCCCAACATTAGAATAAAGGGCCTCACTGTAACAACAAAGACATTGAGTGTTGTAGTTCACCTTTACGCATGATGGCAACGTCATTTTGCTGAAACAAGGTCATCACTTTTTTTCCCCAGTGCTGCTGCACACAACACTTCCCTCTAATTTATTCCAGATAGGCTCAGTGAATTTGGCCTTTTACAACATTCAACTGTGGAAGTGGGGCGAATGGAAACAGGCAAACACTGGTGTGTCTTGGGGCAGGGGGGGTTGGATCCCCCTGCCATTGTCTTTTGCAGTGAATACTGCATCCAAAGATGCTATTACACTGCATGCACATTAAAGAACCCCTAACACCAAGTTTAAAAGCTCCAGATGCTTGGTGTTGTTTTGAGAGTCCTGCGTATGGTGCGGGGGGGGGGGGGGGGCACTTCTGATTGAGCATTAGTGTCAAGCCCGACTATAATATAAAATATTTTTATTTGGTTTTAAAGTGAGGGTGAGAGCTCAAACGAGTATAACGATTAAATTGACATTTTCTGTTTGACATAGACAAGGAGCCCTGCGTGATGTTGCAGAGGTCAAGCGAGAATCGTGGCACGTCAGAGAATGTTTGCGGGGTGCGCAATAATCCCCCATTGGCTCCCGGCGAGGACAACTGTTCATCACTCTTCTTGCTCTGCTGTTAGCTTTCAAACTGGTTTTGGCTGCTTGAGCCAGGAATGCTTTTCTTTTTACAAAGGGGGGGACACCCCAAGCACCCACATCGTTTCACTCTTCACTGTTCGCTGGTTCCCGTATTTGAAAGCGGCTCATTCAATGCCACCGCAGCTTGAGCGCATGTAGTATCAGGCGCTGCCCCACTGTGGGGCACTAGTTTCTTATGGTATTTAGGCGGGCACTTTGATTTGTTGCAAAATCGTTCTGCATTAATGATGCCAGTAATAACTGTATGCATTAGACTGCTTACGATTTCTTTTGAGCATTACCTGATGGAAAGCTTCAAATTACTGTAAAAAAGTTGCAAACAGAGTTTTCCCTGTCAGGAGTTCTCCAAGTTACACCTAAATGCAAAACTTTGAACAGTTCAGTTTGGTCAGAACAGTCATGACTGCCTTGCACTATTACTTAGACAACATTTACCGTAACACCCACTTATCAGTAATGCACTATGGTGAATTACATGTTTGAGAATTATTGTGGATCTGACCTCACAGAGCATGTAGCAAATACTATGCATAGGGACACGACCAGAAGGCAATGCAGCGATGAGGCACACAAAACAAAAAGTTGGCATGCAAACACATGCCCTTAGAGATTTGACGAGCTTGAGTTAGTTCTTGTGTTTCGAGTTCAAAAGTGAACAATTGGCAGGAACACCAGTGATGCGTAAAAATAAAATCGATTCGAAGGTAAGTGCGAGAGAAAAGTGTCGTCGTTATGTTGGGACATGAGGACAACTCCAGACAGATTTTTCTGTGCCACTGTTTCTAGGCTAGAACCCAGAACTGTGGGGCAGAAAAACACAAGGCATACATGGCAGTAACGCAGGCAATGCACTTGTTCACACTGCTTCCATCACCCCTTTTCTTTTATAGAGCCTCCATTCAGACAGGTACTCGCGGCACCAAACAGCCTAGCAACAAGTATTACCTGCACATTCCTATGCTGCTAAATTTAGAGGCAAGCTTAACATGAACACTGCGTAGCTTGTACTGAAAGAGTTTGACTGGTGCCAGCGTTGTATAGCCTTGGATTCTGTTGCCATGATCTTACCCATGCACGCCAACATTCTATCCAACTATACCAAGGTATTACTTCAGCAAAAGCACCCAGCGCTTCACACCTAGCATCAGTCGAACTAGTCCAGGTCATGTGTCAAAGCATTCATGTTAAAGGGTACCGACACCTTTCTTCAAAGGCAAATAATACTCTGCCATACAAATCTTCTGTATATAGTCATGTCTCTGAACAAGTGTGAAGCTTGGCAAATGCTGATAACATATTTTATCCTAATGTGAAAGTAAACTTTTCCATGGTGCACCTTCCAACATCGGTGCGAGCTTGCAGTCAGGCTACAGTACTGATTCTGGTAACTTGTCGCTAAAGCCTGGCTAGTTGTGATGACTTTGGGTATCGAAACTTCCAAGATGACTGCTTGTGCATCCCCAAAAGATTAAAAACGACTGTTCGTGCGTCGCCAATAGAGCCTCGATGCAGAGTGGTCGTAGAAATGTCACTTATCTTGTGCAGGCACATCCTGACAAATCGGTATTATACTGTCTTTTAACGTCGGGGTACAGTAACAACTTAACCTGGCTTTTAAAAGCATACTCTAATTACTTTTTCAGGGTGAACTCATACTTAGCACTACAATTTCTAGGCTCTTGAGGGCTTGACTTTTCATTTGAAGCAAAAAAATGACAACTGAAAATTTCCCTGTCAATACTACTTTAAGGTTACTGATGACTGTATGTCCACTGTCCCACAGCCTTTCAGTCAGCAAATTAGTATAGTCCTTACCGATTACATAATTTTACTTTCTAAATTCGAGTTTTACAGTATTCAAAGCAGATATTCTGCAGGACTCCTAGGAAGTAAACAGAAAAAAAACTTTTCCTGGAGTTCGTTCCCACAACTAACAAGGAGGAGTCATGTTGACTGTTAATTACAATCAAGTCATTATTAGCAACTGATGACACCACAAGCGTGCAAATGCTACTAGGATATACCTAGTACGAGTAGAAATATTTTTTGCCTTTGTTTCCAAGCAAGTCTCAGGAAAAGCAACGACTTAGGACTAGACAAAAAGTGTGCAGCTGCACAATGAAAGAAAGACCCAAATAAAAGTTCTGCAAGCAAGAAATAAAAGGAAAGACAAAAAAACAGCATTATAATGTAATTTCCTACAGCCCCACTGAAGATGGGACAGAAAATGCGAATATTCTTTTATTAACAAATCATGCACAAAGTTCAATGCACTTGAATGTGAGGGTTCCAATAGGATTCTTGTGGTGTTCCTCACAAAGATTCATATATTCTCTTTCATTCACATGACTAGAGCAATTACCTGAGCGTCTTTTTCAAGTACTAGCTTAATCGAAGTGTCCCTTCTCTGCTCATTTTCTAAAGTTGCGGCGGACCAAAATGCTACAATAGGTCGGCAATATATCTAGATCCAATAATGAAGCCCATTATGAGTGAATCACACTGCTGCACAGAAGTATTATAATAGTTAATATATCAATCGGACAGGTGCACACTGCCAGCAAGCGGGAGACTAGAAAGTGAAGCTCCTCACATCAAAAAACTCGTACGACACAGAGAACGCGTAAGCGTGCAATGTATCACACAATGCAGATGACTCGCAAATCATGTCAAGCACACGACAGGCATCACAGATAATCTTCAACACAACCAAGACAAGAACGCTACATTTGCATTCAAACATTTGTGTCCTGGCATCCTGGTTCCTGGCAGTTCGTAAAGTGGCATGCAGAAGCACAGGAGCAACATGTGGCAATGACCGCATTCACTACCAGTAAGAGTAATAACAGTACATCCAGGAAGCCATGTCAGTGTAACAGACTACTCGTTACACCGCAATGAAGAAGTACTGGACAGGTACTGTGTAAAAAAACAGGAACTTATAGGGCAGGCACAAGTTGCAACCTCTTATCACATTCCAAATAAATTTGGCAAATAACAAGGGCATTGCCACATTAAGGGCAGTCTCATGATGACAACAGCACTCAGCACACCATAAAGCAGGTAAGGGAAAGCCACAGTAGCAATAGTAGCCCATAAAGGGTGAGGAAAATCAGAGCACCTTAATGGTCTCTGTGCCAGTAAAGAAGACTGACTAGTGGCACTGATGTTTCTTGACAGTGATCTGCAATTAGCACAATAAAGCTAAAGAAGCAGGGAGTATGATGGAGAAAAAAAAACAATATCACAGTGAAGGACAAACACAGTCAAAAGAACACCGTTTTGCCACACCATTACAATGGCCCTACATACAGATGACCCTGAACGGAGCACACAACTTAGCACTGGTGACCACAGGGTTTCGTTCCATCTTCAGCGCGAGTGCTTGGCTCCTCCACATCCCACTAGGCTTGAATGCTCTGTTTGGTTGCATTTAAACTTGACTAGCTGGCAAACAAAAAAAGCAGGAAAATGCTTGGCCATTGGTGTCATTTCAAGAGGAACCGTCCTTAGGTTGGATGAAACCCTTGACCATGCAGAGACAAAATCAAGTGTTGCAGACAGAAGCCTGCTCTGCCTTTGCATGCCTTCTGGGACAACTGGGCATGAAGACAAAGAGTGCATGAGAACAAGGTCCTCCTTTAACTCGGTACTAAGTTCATCGTTGGTTTCTTGAAGATTCTGGCTTTCCCACAGTGGACATGAAAGGCCGAGTACAGCTTCTGGCTCAGCCTTAAATGCCTCATGATTGTATGGCAAGTCAAGGAAGTGTAGTGTGGAAGACAGAGCTTCGGGTACATGCTGTGGTGGCTGTTCCCACAATGGATTACTGAGGAACAAGCAGGAGTCTTCAGCAGATAGAACCGCTGGTCCAGACATAATTTGTCCCAAATCAGACGGGCAACTTCCAGCTTGCAGAATCTTGAAGGTGCCAACAGTATTATGCAGCGGTTGTGCCTTTGCAGACAGCTGTGTGTAATGGGTTTCTGGTGACAGTGGAGAAGCACTGATCCTATCTGGGTGATCTAGGTCCTCGGCTCTTGAGGCCTGCTTGACCGTGGGCGTGTCAAGTAGTGGTGCAGCTGGAAACGAAGGAGAGTTAGGTGTCTCGTTATCCACCACTGCAGAGGCAATTCCAGCAGCCACACTGATCAGCTGTGACTGCTTTTTCTGTCTGTTCTTTGAGATTTTGAGTGAAATGACATTGTGAAGGGCAGACTTTTGCTTTTTTCCTGGCGCACGGCCTAGAAGGTCAGAATTCTGATCCTCTGAAGACGTAAAGAATGGCCCAGGTGGATTGCTCAGTTTTGCATTAAGGGTTGTGCCACCACCCGACAAGGTTCTCCCTGGCTTGAGTGTAGTCTTCTCTTTGCCTTTCTTTGTCTTGGCTTTCAAGGCCCGTTTGACTTTTGATGACAAAGCACATTGATGTGGTGAAGGTGTTTTTTTTGGCTGCTCCATTAACATTAGAATAGCAGCTGGGCCCTGAGTAGATTCTAATTTAAGCTTCTCTTCTGGCACGGTAAGTATTCTACCAGCCACTGATTCTTGAGCAGACAGTGGAGATGCTGAACTGGGCGACACTCCTGGTATTGCAGACACTGAGGCAGTGGCAGCTGCATTTGCAGTCCTACATTGCCCTGATCTTTTTTTCGTTTCCCTGCGCTGGACTAGACCACCGAGGTTGCGCTGTGGCTGCGGGTGGTTCTTGCAGTGTTCCGGAGCAGGTAGAGACGTGTGAAAGTGTTTGGGCAGAGATGGCATTTGTAGGGCCGCTCGCCCGTGTGGCACATCATGTGACGCTCGAGGATGCTGTTGCGGCCAAAGCCACGCTTGCAGACTGTGCACCGGTAGGGCCGGTCACCATTGTGCGACCGTTCATGACGCAGCAGATCGGCACGGCCAACAAAGTGGCGCTGGCAGATGCTACACTTGTAGGGCCGCTCTCCTGTGTGCCGGCGTCGATGATTTGCAAGGTCAAAACGGAAGTAGAAGCTCTTGGGGCACAGATCACATTCATGATGGCGCACGCCTGTGTGCCGCAACAGGTGTTCCACAAGTGTCTGCCTGCAGGAGTAAGAAATGCAGGGCTATAAATAAACTTTCACAAGATTTTGTTAGACTAAAAGGGCTTTTAAACCAACCAGAGGTTAAAACTTACTGCAGTGTGGCAGTCGTGCACAAGTGTGAATGCATATGTAGCCTCCACAATTTTTCGAAACGGTGCTCTAATGGTAGAGTTAGAAGTACTTCATGATTAAAAAAGAAGTCTTTACTTGGTTCACTCTTTTTTTCAGTATGTTTCATTGGTTGGCTCATCTGTCCCCAGAGATGAGTGCTCCTCCTCACCGTGCAAAAAGGAAAAGTAGCGAGCACACATATCTGTGAGCAGAGAGGTTCTTTTTGTCGACTGCATGGGCAGATGAGAATGTTGACACGGTGATCAGTGAGGGTTACTGAAGGCGTCGAGAAAAAAAAGGAATTTTTTCATGAAATATTTGGGGCCTGCATGGCTCATAGAGCAGCTATGTTTGACATTGCGGATTGTAGTGGCCCTCTGAACTAAATGCATGCATTCGCTTGAATTAAACAAACTTATGGGGGTGGTCTAGGGCCCTTTAACTTTTTTCTTTTTTTATATAGCCATGAATTATAAATATGTGCTATGCGTAAGTAGAGATGTCCAGAGTAACATTTGCAACCCAAAGGTTCTTGAATGAGAAAATTTAAAATTTAATTTCCCTCCTCGTCCCCACCGTAATGTGGCCACATTGTTGGCAGAACTCCATAGAAGCTAGCACAACACAGTGAATAGAGGATTTTGTTGCTTAGCACTGGATGTATGCCACAAGGGTGAGACGGCCGAGCCTAAATTGGGAGCAGTTTTAGAGCACCAAAATTTCAATTTTTGAGCAGAAAAACCTTGCTTCGGAGTAGTTAGCAGCAATAATATCTCGTCCTGGTAGCTTTAAAATACAAATTTTTAGCATTTTTTAGCAACGTAGGGGAACCAGTGCATATTTTATTTGGCTAAAAATACACATAATGGTTGGTTCACACTGGCACGACCATTTGCGACTAGTCGCAAACAGTCGCAAAGCGACTGCTTTGGCTAGTCAATTCCTGAATAACTCTTTCAGTTGCCCGACCGCAGACGCAAAGCTGCTGGAACCAATCAGCGATTCGCAGAAGTGACGCCAGCATTTTTTATATCCAGGCTCACTGTTCTTTTTTTTTTTGTCATTGCACTGACCCCCTGCCACCAGATAGAAATGAGTGCATTCCCCTGAATCTGCGCCACCATGGCCACTACTGGAATACTTGGCTTGGGGATGACAGAGTGCAGCAGCTCAGGCAAAGTGTTGAATTTACGAGGCTACAATCGCAAGAAGTTAAATACCGTCAACACAAAAAGAAAATTAATTGTGCACTATCTCTGTATTCAGAATCGTTTTTTGTCTGGAACTTGGCTTGCCACCACCTTCAAATGCAGTGCATTTCAAAGGTGTTTGTGCTGCATGCCTTAGCACCGCTTAAAGACGGCGCATTTGAGAGGCGTTTGTGCTGCATTGGAGGCGGTGGCAAGTCGAGTTCAATTCAAGGAGCGTTTTTAAATACGTCACTGTCAGAAATGCTCCTCATCCTGTGAGCGCAACTCGGGAGGTAGGTGACTTGCATGGCTGGCAGACTCTCCAGAGCGAAGGAACGGTCGCACCAACTACCGGCTTTTTTTTTTTTTCTTTGGAGGCCTCTGTGCTGCAAGCACTGACACCACGGCATAGCACATCAGCGCCATGCCATTCTCTTGTTCTTCACTCAAATCGAAATCCATGACGCTGCTGGCAACACTGAGAGAGAGTGGACGAAAACAATAAATGCGGCGCGTCTGTTCACTCTGCTCACTGCCGGCAGCGATCTCCTGATCAGCTGATTGGCGCCGGTTTCCAGGATTCTCGCTCATAACGAGATCCGGACGTGACTTTCCGGCTTTGCGACTTTCGGTTGCTTGCATGCAGCCTCTGCTTGTGTGAACATTAGTCGCTTTTTGGTCGCCAGCTGCAAATGATCATAGGAATGGTGCTAGTTGCGGGTGTGAACGAACCCTAACACTGAAGGAAGTTTTTGAACAGATTATCGCCAGGTATGAACTGCACTACCCTTTCACATACCATGTTACCTATCTAGCGCTTCTACCGAAGATTTAAATTATTTAGAAAATGTTTTGTTGAAAAAAAAGGTTTCCAAGAAACATTTGAAAACACATTACACTCGAAAAGAAAATAAAAAAATTGTGATTGCTAAAAAATTGTATATACATAACAGCGGGCCTTCGCTTAAAAAAAAAAAAAGCCTGACATGATAGTGTCAATTTTACTGCAAGATTTTAACAGACAACAAAAGCGCGCTGCACCACCGTTCAGAACCACCTCGTGCAGGACCACCTTCAAGAGTGCAGCGCGGGAGCCAAGAAACCTCGCCGCATCGACAGTCCCATAAAGCGCGTGCATATGGCACTAAGTCATAAGCAAATGGTACTGATAATGCCTTTTTATGCGAGCAAACGATGCAGTATTATTATTGCCCAAGCTGGCCTGTTCTATTTTCTTCAATATCATAGGTCATCACGGTCGATGTGGAATTTCCGATAATACGTCGACTTGCTATTGCCGCCCACGCCACGACTCACGTAAAGGCCTGACAACTCGAACTTGTCAACGGGCGGCTTTTTGATGAGGTGTCGTGCCCACTCTCTGTGAGGAGTGGGTACGTAGCTACGCGAAGCTGTGGTCCACTCTCTTTTCATGAGAAGAGGGTGCGACGCCACGTCATAGCCACGCGCTGACTTGCTGCAACGTGTACGTGTGACCAGGCCTTAATGCTGTCACACCGGGCAGTGCAGGTAAGCAATTCGTGTCCACGCGAACGAATCGTCAAATGTACAGACGCCAGCTTTATTTCGAAAAAAGATAAGAAAGAAAACGAAGTTTGGCAGTCACACTGCGGAACTGCCGCAGACCAAAACACCGACCGAACGTAAAGCCGAACTATAAAAGCTCGTGTAGCCCAGAGCTGGCATGCAGAGATGCCTTTTAAAGTGCTTGTTGCGAGTTTTGATTGAAAAACGAAGCAGTGGCAAATCACTGTTCATGAAAAATGTGCGACGTGACCGGCAACGTGCCACGAGTCATGAGTCATGAATAAAGCGCCGAGGTGCCCGTTAACAATATCGTTTGAAATGATTAATGGTTTGAACGCGCGTTCTGCACCATGGCTTCGGAAATAACCAAGTTTGTCTCTCGCTACCTGCAGACAGCGATGTGCGGATTTCGCGTGCGATGGCTTTTTTCAATGCAAAATGCAATGAGAACTCGCTTGTATGAATAAATTAGTAGCTAATGAACGTAAGCTGGGAATGCATTGCACACGTTTTGTTGCTCATGAAACCCATTTTGAGAACCCACGTGCACACACCAGGGCATCCAGGAGACGCGTTGCATGCAGGGAAATGACTCCACGTTTACAGTAACTCGTTCACAGCAAAACGCGTACGCATAAGTGGTCGCACACAGCAGCATCGACATGAAAACCGCAGCGACTGGACGAACGTGCTACACACAAGAACCGAAAATTCAACCCTTCTATGCTTGCCACTTGACTCAGTGGTTTTCGCTAAGTGACATTGGCACGAGAACACACAACGTAGCCAGTAGAAGCAGCACACTCGATGCACGGGAGCACATTTCTGGGGGATCACACATATTTTCAACAATTTAGAGGTGATTATGGCGGCACCATGGGAGCTTTCATCACCAGAAAATTGAAAAGTAAAAAAAAACACACGCATCTTATTAGTCAACTCGGCTTTTTTCCCCTGCTGAAGCTGAAGTTGACATCAAAATTCATGCTTTCGAGGCTGTTTTGGTGCTGTTCGGCGCAATTGTCGTGATTTTTATGCTTTTGGACCAGTTTGGGGCAACAAAACAGAAAGGTATCGAAAATATGTGCAGCTGTCTCACCCCTGATGACAAGCAACTGTTCTGGCATAGTAAAAAGCTTTTTCTGTTGGCACAGTGCAGGAACATAGCTGATCACCACTGTATAGAATTTGATGATGCCAAATGAAGTATAACCTCACATAAATGATAGTCAGCAATGTGTGAATGTCACCAGCTACAGTTTAATAGTAGTACCTGTAACATTGAGCAAAGTGACAACAAAGATGGCCATGGCAATTAGAAAATCATATGCAAAATGTGTACATAATACAGCTGAAACAAGGACAACCTACCCATAATCTATATGTATTATAGAACATTCCTTGCAGGTATATGATTTTTTTCAGTACCCGCTTCTATTTTCACTAATAAAGCCTAATTAATCAATTTATGAATAAATGCATGTGGAAACTAAAAAGTGCTGTTAATACTGAGTGTATACTCAAGAGTAGCGTTTCTTTGAACCTTAGATAGCATAAAGTCGTGCAACTGTGCCAAAGAACTCGCAATGTCTTTTGGCACCAACCAAATTCACCTTGGAGCAGCATATCTACCTTTTCAAGCAATTATCAGCACGCACTTATGCACACAAGTAGCATAGAGGAACACTTTAAAGTCCTTCTATAAATATCAGTATACAGTATGTGTGCATGCATGCCTGCAGAATACTATATCATGCAGTATGAAATTACCTGTGTGAAGTGCCTGATGTTTCCAAACACCGGTGACCTCAAACAAGGAATTTTGCACTCATTTTCTAAAAAGTACAACTAGCATAACTTTGAAGCTGGCTATCCCCCAGTACAGTCGTAGTGACAGATACAAAAAGTAGGCTTATTAACACTTTAGTGACCTTGAGAAATTCGAACATTTTAGGTAGTCTAGAAAAGATTTTTATGCCGCCCAAAGTTTGTGATGATAATGTTTATAGTGTAGAGAGGAAGAAGATTATGTGCCGCAGTGGATCGGGCCTTTAGCGAGAGGAGCCAAGCGCGAGCGTTTGCCCCGAGTGCTGTTATTCCTGGGTTCGTTGCTGCCGCCTGCTTTCCGCATCAATAGACCTGCTGTGCA